AGTCGCAACGTCCCGACTAATCAGAGCACAGTGGGCGCATAGGGAGGGGGGGGGGCAAGAGCTCCAACAAGCCGTGTAGGACAGAGAGTGAATACTTTACAGAGATGCTGTTTGAGAAACCAATGTGAGTTTGGAAAATGTAACAATGTAAATCTATTCTAGTCGACCTCAACAATGGAAACATGATCAGTAGAAATGGCCATGACATGGGACCTTTAAAATGTAATTAAACCAAAATAAATAATCAAAAATGTCAAAGGGCATTTACCCTAACCCTTACCCTTAAAATGATATACAAATGATAATAATATAGGACAGTAATTTAGACCAAAATAAACAACATTAAATATGTCACTGCCACAACCTATTGAAAATGCAAGACAATATAATAATAATGATAGATGGAAACAAACTTTGTAATTGAAAATAAAAGCTGATTAATTCCCCACACACTATCTTCCTACCCCTGCTACTAAACACCAAGTGGAGGTTTTTCCTTTACGTCCACAAAGCATAATAATGAGGCAGTTTTTGTTCGTTTCACAGAAATGTTTTGCAGCAGTGATTTATCTCCAGCGGCAGAGGAGGGCGTGTCACACCGGGATAGATTACACAGAGAGGCTTAGGAGAAAGATGGATCCTCTGATCAATGTGTCAGCAGCGGGCTCTCCTCTCTTAAGTGCTGAAAGTAATCTGGAGTGATTTACAATATTGACCAGGAGGAAGCCTTCACCCTGCAGAGGATGTGATGTAACCCCCCCCCCCCTGTGCCCCATGGAGAGCACTGTGACCCAGGGCCAATAACACAGGGGAAATCACGTGGAGTCAAGAATATGAACAATATGAATATGCTCTCTCCACAGAGGTCTACTTTGACTAAATCTTCATTTCCTTGCAACCATCTTTGATTGGTTTTGACAGAGGCTAAATGGATGCGTTACAGTGATAGGCAGAATAAAGAAAACCAGGATATCCTGCGTGATCACATTACACTGCCTTAATGCATCTTTACTGAGGGCTCGTAACCTGTACTTAGCAATGCTCTGGGACTCTCATCCAATTACTTTAAGCCCTTTTGGGTTTGTCTACATTATTTAACAGAACAATCAAGTTAAAGATTTATATTTGTGATAATAAAATGTAGCAAAGATAGTGAAATCACTTATCATGCTATATCCTAATATTAAAGGATGAGTTGTACATGTCCAGAATACACCTCTGTGTTATTGAGTAACATTACTGACATTAGATAACGGACCTGCTTAGATATTTCTTATTTGTTGCTAAATGTAATGGTGTCACAATGCACCACCCTACTGATGATCATTGGGATATTTACAAAATGGAATAATATTACTGTGTAAATGATCCTGAGAGATATACAGACAATAATGGACTCACCCAAGGTTCTGATTATGGTTCAGTGTACATTAGGTACTTTTCCTAAATGTATGCTATCAATAAAAGCGAATTGCCACATTCTTATATTTAATAGTTTTTAAAAATGCGGAAATATACAGTATACAATGTCAGCTTGGGCGCCTGATATCGCTTTCACTCACAGCGTCGCGAAGGTCACGCTTCACTTTGCTTCACGCACCTGAAAACGAAATGCCGAAGACTTCAGCTGTGTGGGACTATTTTAAATTGGACGACGATAAGACGAAGGCAGTGTGCCAAATATGCAATATGAAACTGGCCTACCACGGTGGCACAACAACTATGAAAAGTCACCTGAATGCTAGTAGTAGCTTAGCTTAGCTGTTGTCCAGTTGCCATGATGCAGCTGCTTTATCCGCCGTTTAAACAGTAACGTTACACATGATAAAAACGTATATGTATATCCGGAGCCCGAAAAATGGTATTCGGGACAGCCCTAGTGTACATATTACAAAACGTTAGATTATCTGTTATTTTATCAGGCCATATGATTCCCAGATTGTTCCTTTCTTAATGTAAAAATGACTGTAAATTAAATGATTCAAACACTACAGAGACCCCCCCCCACCCCCTTCATCATCCATCCCAACATGACTCACCAGAACTCGATCTCCGACCCTCAGATCTTTATCGCCTCCTTTCTTCACGGAGCCGCTGTCGGACATGTTGGACCCCGACTCGTTCCCCGTCCTTATGGTGCTGTTGAGCAGCCCCTCCCTCAGGGGCATCACCACCACCCTCTGGCTGGGGGGGGGCACGCCGTTGCCCCCCTGGTTCTGGGAGTCGATGGAGTGGCTGTCGCTGCCCTCGCCCGCCTGCTGCCGGTTCAGTTTGGAGGGTCTGGTGAAGATGCCCTGCAGAGCCTGGCACTCGAAGTACCGCACGCCGCCCACCGACCCGTCGTTCTTGCCCACCAGGTCGTTGAGGATCACGCCGGCCCACTGTCCCGGGGCGAACTGGGTCTCCCCGAGGTACGCGATGACTCCCAGCTTCACTCCGTTCACCCACACCGTCTCTCCCACCGTGTAGTCCCCCAGGACTTCATCGCCCTCTTCGGTGATTTTAGTGGGTGTGGTGGGCTTCAGGGGAGTATCTGGAGACAACATGAGTGTTATTAGTTACGATGTAGAGAAGGAAAAGGTTTCACATAACAAACAAAAGCAGGCAATTAAAGACAAGAAACAGAGGGGATGCATGATTTTAAAACAAAAACTAATTGCGATTGATGATTGGCGATATTAGATTGTTCACATTATCATAAAAAAAATACATTAAAATGATCTGGATTATTTTTAAAGGATTTATTTTAGGTCTAAAGGCTGGGACTTCCCTGCAGAGCCACTTTGCAGTACAACATATTTTGTACATATCGTGGCTATATTTCACCAACTATTGCACTTACTGCTAATTGGATAATGCTTTTTATTTCATTATAGTGTACAGTAATCGATGCCATTTCATTTATATTGTAATATCACAGTACCACAGTACACTCACTACACTCCCCCCTCCCTCTACCCGCAAAAAAAATAAAATATTTATCAATATAACTTAAACAACAGAGCCATGAAGATAAACATAACATGGAAAAAAGGGGGAAAAAAGGAAACAAATAAATAAACCCACATCAAAATAAAACAAACAAATAATTATACAATTAATTATACAATACAGCGACAATATAGACAATGACAACACAACTAGTATTTCCGGCCGTCAGGACTAATAGCCACAGAGTGCACCATTCCATCACTGGTCATGGTGATAAGTAAAACAATGGCAACCACAGAGCTTGAAAGATATGCCCACGATTATATTTTTCCAATGTCATTTTCTCCAGAGGTAAAACATGTGTTATCTGATCAATGAAAAGTTTAAATGTTGGAGGACTTTCTATCTTCCAGATAATGCTATTTTTGACAACATTTTGAATGACTGTGCAGTCCTTATGGACACTACTGAACAAAAACAACGAATGCAATAAAATGCATGGAAAATTAGTACTTCCTAAAACCCTCCTCATTTGATAATATATGATATGACAAACCTTTATTTACCCCATAAGGAAATTCAGGTGTTATAGCGGCAAGAGAATAAAAGTGAAACACAGGATAGAACAGACAAGTGTTTGCATTAGGGTTATAAAAATACAACTGTTGAAAATACAACAGATACAAGTGAAGATTATTAAAAATGTATATCCATGACTTGGTATGCAAATGAAATTATCTTGTACATATAGTAAATAAGTCTCGCTCTGTCTCGACATAGACTTGGGGGTCAAGTTGTAAACAGAGCCTACATTGTGAGATCATCCACTATTCATCCTTTAGATTGCGTCATGACGGAAAAAAGAGAGACAGAGAGAAACATGCTTGTGTGGCAGCATCCAGCAACACAGTGCACAATTATGTGTTACTCTAATTCCTCCTGAAAGTGGGTCAGAGAGTGGTCTCTGTGGTGTGCCGCTGATTAACCCGCCGTGCAGCACTGAAGCCTGTTAGACATGAGCTGGTTTCATTTATTATTTTCCACAGCAGCCTGTAAACTGAGCAGGCCTCCATTAGCACACAGTCTGCTGCGCCACACTGCCAGGAAGTGTCTGTCTGTCTGTCTGTCTGTCTGTGTGTGTGTGTGTGTGTGTGTGTGTGTGTGTGTGTGTGTGTGTGTGTGTGTCTGTCTGTCTGTCTGTCTGTCTGTCTGTCTGTCTGTCTGTCTGTCTGTCTGTCTGTCTGTCTGTCTGTGTGTGTGTGTGGTCTAGCATTACTATACTTGTGGGGACCTAAATCTGTTTACATAGTCACGTGTGGGGACTGGCTTCCCTTATGGGGACAAATTGGAGGTCCCCATGAGGGGAATCATTAATATTAGGGTGAAGACTTGGTTAGGATTAGGGTTAGGGTTAGGCATGTGTTGGTTATGGTTAAGGTTAGGATAAGTCTCCAGGAAATGCATGTAAGTCAATGTAATGTCCCCTGGAGTGATGTATACATGATATGTGTGTGTGTGTGTGTGTGTGTGTGTGTGTGTGTGTGTGTGTGTGTGTGTGTGTGTGTGTGTGTGTGTGTGTGTGTGTGTGTGTGTGTGTGTGTGTGTGTGTGTGTGTGTGCCAATGACTCTGCTTTATGCCTCAATTGCTCCCATATGTTGTGATGTGAGACACATCCGGCACAAAGTACAAATTTGAGGTTTTTATGTGATGATGATACAGTTTTTAGGAATGTGCTGCTTCCAGTAGAAGTTGGTTTTGGGGGGAAATATTGCTGACTGTCATGCTTTCTCCCAATATATCTATATTCTTTTTTTAAAGGTGAAACCCATTTGCTTTTGTCTGAATCAGGTCAAATGTGTGTCGTTTATTGATCATCATTTATCAGCTGACTAAAAGGTATTGACAGTCAGGTCCCTCATTGATCTGTAGTAATGTGTCCAAATGATTATCGCCCATAGCAAACAGACATCAGCTGTCAGTCACCCAGTGTTTGACCTTCAGAAGACGACTGCACATAGCAAAATATCTTTTAAATGTTTACCCAATGTCGGATAAATAAAGTATATATAATCCATGATGAACTTATTATGGTCCAGCATTGTTGTACAAGTTTCTATCCCAATTGAAGTAACACGATGACAGAGCCACTCTTTACAGTATTACAATAATAGACTGAGTGTCTTTAGTGACTTTGTCCGGAAAAACGCCGTCTCAAGTTTCTGCTAATGCTAACCGAACATTTCCACTCTGCAGCTTCCCATTAAAACATTTAATAAGAAACCTGAGTTGGCTTTTATTATGAAGCAATCCCAGGAAGTGCAGTTGTCATCAAAGCACTCATTGTTGGCCTTGTATTGGCAGCAGACGAGTTTGAACGTTTGAGCTTGACAGGCTAAGGGGTGGGACATCTCTAAGCGGTTGACCAATCACAACAGAGCCTGCCAGCTAACCACTCAGAGCAGACTGGGCGCTGGTTTCAGACAGAGGGTGAAAAGAGGTGCTGCGGCACAGGCAGTATGAGACAAATAAAGAGCTTTTTGAACATTAAAGCATGGAGACATGTAGAGACACTACATACTGATATACACCTGAACATCAGCAGGAGAGGACTCTTTAAAGTAGAGACACTACATACTGATATACACCTGAAACATCAGCAGGAGAGGACTCTTTAAAGTAGAGACACTTACATACTGATATACACCTGAACATCAGCAGGAAGAGGACTCTTTAAAGTAGAGACACTACATACTGATATACCACCTGAACATCAGCAGGAGAGGACTCTTTAAAGTAGAGACACTACATACTGATATACACCTGAACATCAGCAGGAGAGAGCTCTTAAGTAGAGACACTCTATATACACTCCTGACATCAGCAGGAGAGGACTTTTTTAAAGGAGAGACACTACATACTGATATACACCTGAACATCAGCAGGAGAGGACTCTTTAAAGTAGAGACACTACATACTGATATACACCTGAACATCAGCAGGAGAGGACTCTTTAAAGTAGAGACACTACATACTGATATACACCTGAACATCAGCAGGAGAGGACTCTTTAAAGTAGAGACACTACATACTGATATACACCTGAACATCAGCAGGAGAGGACTCTTTAAAGTAGAGGACACTACATACTGATATACACCTGAACATCAGCAGGAGAGGACTCTTTAAAGTAGAGACACTACATACTGATATACACCTGAACATCAGCAGGAGAGGACTCTTTAAAGTAGAGGACACTACATACTGATATACACCTGAACATCAGCAGGAGAGGACTCTTTAAAGTAGAGGACCACTACATACTGATATACACCTGAACATCAGCAGGAGAGGACTCTTTAAAGTAGAGACACTACATACTGATATACACCTGAACATCAGCAGGAGAGGACTCTTTAAAGTAGAGACACTACATACTGATATACACCTGAACATCAGCAGGAGAGGACTCTTTAAAGTAGAGACACTACATACTGATATACACCTGAACATCAGCAGGAGAGGACTCTTTAAAGTAGAGACACTACATACTGATATACACCTGAACATCAGCAGGAGAGGACTCTTTAAAGTAGAAGACACTACATACTGATATACACCTGAACATCAGCAGGAGAGGACTCTTTAAAGTAGAGACACTACATACTGATATACACCTGAACATCAGCAGGAGAGGACTCTTTAAAGTAGAGACACTACATACTGATATACACCTGAACATCAGCAGGAGAGGACTCTTTAAAGTAGAGACACTACATACTGATATACACCTGAACATCAGCAGGAGAGGACTCTTTAAAGTAGAGACACTACATACTGATATACACCTGAACATCAGCAGGAGAGGACTCTTTAAAGTAGAGACACTACATACTGATATACACCTGAACATCAGCAGGAGAGGACTCTTCAAAGTAGAGACACTACATAGTGAAATGCACCTGAACATCAGCAGGAGAGGACTCTTTAAAGTAGAGACACTACATACTGATATACACCTGAACATCAGCAGGAGAGGACTCTTTAAAGAGAGACACTACATACTGATATACACCTGAACATCAGCAGGAGAGGACTCTTTAAAGTAGAGACACTACATACTGATATACACCTGAACATCAGCAGGAGAGAACTCTTTAAAGTAGAGACACTACATACTGATATGCACCTGAACATCAGCAGGAGAGGACTCTTTAAAGTAGAGACACTACATACTGATATACACCTGAACATCAGCAGGAGAGGACTCTTTAAAGTAGAGACACTACTGATATGCACCTGAACATCAGCAGGAGAGGACTCTTTAAAGTAGAGACACTACATACTGATATACACCTGAACATCAGCAGGAGAGGAATCTTTAAAGTAGAGACACTACATACTGAAATGCACCTGAACATCAGCAGGAGAGGACTCTTTAAAGTAGAGACACTACATACTGATATACACCTGAACATCAGCAGGAGAGGACTCTTTAAAGGAGAGACACTACATACTGATATACACCTGAACATCAGCAGGAGAGGACTCTTTAAAGTAGAGACACTACATACTGATATACACCTGAACATCAGCAGGAGAGG